TCAGCAGAGAGCATACAGTTTAGTTTTTCTTGTTCATGGTGTTCCAAAAAATAATCTTACTGCATCGCTTCTGTGAGAGACCAGTCGTGCTAAGCCATGCTACCTTCTCGAGTATGCGTGGTTTTCTGCCAAACTCTTTGCTTAGAAACAGTCACTACATTTAGTGTCCTTAATGTGTCTCCAGACAGAACACGCAGATGAACATGAACTTGCACGACTGTGTGTTTAATGCACCTTTGCAGCCTCCAGGAGCGTTTGCCATTGGTGCAGTTTACTCTCCAGAGGCAGGGTTGAAGGCACGTGCTGGCTGGTACTCGTGAGTCCAGAACTGGAGTGCAGTTCCCTCTCTGCCTCAAGAAAAATTTGGAAGAGCTTTGCTTCTGACTTTCCAAAACATATTTGAAACATAACTCAGTGGCAAGCTTTGTTTTGGAAATGGCCTCACTCCAGCAATGGATTTGTCGAGTCTGTTTATCCCAATTCCTTCTCCGGCTTAATAGGCTGAGAAAGTAAAAACCGTTGTGTGGGTGGTTGAAAACTGTCCATATGGATATTGCTGTAATTTGTGTTTCATAAATAATGGGAGCTTGTCCATAAGCCTGTAATTGACTGAAAATGCATTAAAAGATAGTGCAAAGGCATGCGAACTACTACTTAAAATCCACAGCAAGACTGTCAGGAGGACTGGGAGCTTTCTCAGTGGGAGATGGGGAGGCAGGAGCTGGGTAAACTGTGCAACATCAGATGCCACGTTTCAGATGTGCAAGAAATTAGTTTTCTTAAATGTTTATTGAAGAATGTGAAACTTCTTAAATCCTTGAGAAAAGAAAGCTGTCTTGTCTGCATGGCCTGGCCAGGTGATGGATGCTAAGAGCAACAGCATTGTTTCCAAATAGCTCCAGTGTTAATTATGGCCTGTGTCTGAAAAATTCTGTGGCTGGTGAGTGGGAGGTGGAAGGGCAGGGGCGGGAGGGAGATTAAACCATCAAAATTCCAGAGAGTTCAGTGTTTGGTGTAAGGAACATTTCTGGCCTCTCCATGGCTGTACAGCCAGCAGTGTGGGAGCTAGTCTGGAAGGTCTTCTTGCTCCCAGAGCCGCTGAACTTGCTGCTGCTCAGAGTGCTCGTACATAGTTATATCACTTAATTTGTTCTTAATTAGGCTTAACAATGTGAGCTGTGTGCTTTTGATACCTGATTCAGATAGGAGCAAAGCCAGGCATTAGAGCTGTTGCAGGCTGTGAGCACATGTGGAGGAGGAGGGGGCCAACTGGGGAGAGCTCTGCCTTTCAACAGGCAGAGGAAAAGGCTTCAAAATATTATTTGATGGAACCTAGTGGGTGATCATCATGAGTGACAGACCTGTTGAAGTGGATTGACAGGTAGCACTGTGGTGGGAGCTGGTGAACTTCCTCTCCAGGAGTGTTGGAGCTGGAGTGTTTTGCATCTCACCCACACATGCAGACGCCATCCAAAGTAACTTTTGTGCTGACTTCAGCCAGGGCATTTTTGACTCTGGTCGTTTGGGTTTGCCGAACTTCTTAATCTGAAGCACTGCATGTGCTTTGACTTTAGGTGTGCTGGTTGAAAGCATGCAAGGGAAGGGCATGGAGCTGCTGGAGGGTGAGGCTCCTGGGAGGCCATGCAGAAGGAGAACAGACCTCAGGAAAGCTTGTTAACATTCCTACGTTAACTATCCTTTTGCAAAATGCTTTTTGTTTGATTTTATTTTTTTTTTTTAGGTGTGGGGTGTGTTGCAGATCAATAAGGTCTAGGTGTCCTTAGTTTTCCTTTAAGTAAATGGTTTTGTAATTCTCCCCAGATTATCTGATATTAAATTTCTTTGCAAGGTACTGTAATGCAATGCAGTAAACTTATTTTCTCATTACAGGAAGTGATGTTTGCCAGTTGGCCAAATATCGTATTTAAAGAAGCTGCAACTTCATTTTCATTTAGCTATTTAAACTTTTGGAGCAAGAAAATAATTTTGTGTGGTGTTGTTTTGTTTTGTTCTCCCCCCCCCACAGTCTTCTATCTCCACACCTCCACTTCCAAAAAGATACAGTTGGAACTGAACATCAGGAATATTCCCTTTTACATCTACTGTCAAAATATCTGAGGAGAAATGAAAATGTAATGTGATTTGTTCTTTGTTTTGTTGCTTCAAGTTGAATGCTATGACAGTGACTCAAAGTTGGCTAAGATTTGTTGCTTTGTTGTGATTCCTTTGGAGATGTGGCCTTGCACAAGAAATGTTGATGAGATGTCTTGGAGAGGATGAGAACTATCACCTTGTACAGTTCAATTGAAAGTGTTCTGGTGCATCTCCCCGGGCCTTCTGCTGCCACCAGCTCTGATCTTCTGGGGGCTGTGGTGGAGGTGGTTGCTTGCTTTGGTGTTTGTTTTTTGTTTGTTTGTTTTTTCCCTCTTTATTGATAGTGCTATCTCCAACCTGAGGAAAACTCTTGGGGAAAATGTAATGCACCAAGGCCCCACAATGACTTGGAATGGGTGGAAATTGCCACCATTAAAGGGTTGTTATTACTGAAATTACTGTTGGTTTTGTCGTTATGGACTGTTGGTGCTGAAATGATGACCTCTTGGTAACTGCTGTGCATTCTTCTGCTATGAATGAAGGGCAAAAGACAGCGATTTTTTTTTTTTCTTTTTTTCTGGGTAAGTAAACTCCTTAGATAAACATCATTTTCTTGGGTAAAACCTCAATTTTGGGAGAGTAAACCCTTACTTCTTTTGTGCCCCTTCAGACTGACTTGGTTTCACCCATACCCACTGCCCTACAGGCCATGGAGCCACTTCTGGGTGTTTCATACGAGCAGTTGAACTTTCCAAGGATCCCAACCACCATAACCCAGATCCCACTCGTCTGGGTGCTGACGCTGGTGGCAGGAGGTAGCTTTGCAATCCAGAAACGTGAATGAAATGAAGCCCTCCCCAAAAGGGCCTGTGGCGTCCTTGATCTTCTGTGATCTGGCTGCGCTTGCCAAGTGTGAAGTGCCTTTTTAAAACGAGCTTTTATCGTTTGTGCTGAAAAAGGACTTCGAGGCTTCCTGTGCAGATAGGAACTTTAGTGCTGTACATGGGATCTTTCCAGTCCCTAGTGAATAAACACAGCTGGCTGTTTTGGGAAATGGACTTAACATCTTTGCATCAAAGCTGTACAAATAAGGCAGCAAGCTGTACTGAATGATTAGAGAATGTTCTCGGACTTTTCGCTGACTTAAGAGTGATCACATGAAAAAACTCGTTTCTTACGAGGCTTCCTTCAGCCCGTGAAGGGGGAAATGAGTTTCCCTTCCTCCCCCTTTGGAAACATGACTAGAACAAGCAGCCTCAATGACTTATCGATGTTGGATTATCATGCAATAATTTACTGGGCAGCCTTTTGCTGCCCGGAGCCGCCCACGCACACAAGTCAATGGTGCCTTTGTTCGGAGTGCAGGAAGAATGCATGATCTAATGGGGTGGTGGGAGTTTGCCTTTGTGCCAGCGTGCTCAAGGCTGCACTCGTTCCCCCAGTGTCCCAAACTGGTTTCCTTCCTCCATCCCCATCTTGGTACGGTTGCCCAGAAAAAGCAACGTGTGTTTAATGTCTTCATTGGGCTTTCTTAAAACCCCGGTACCTGTCTGTGGTGGGGTTCCATAGGCCAAAGTCTTTGATTTGGCTTTGATTTGGTAGAGTGTGGTTTATGATGGGAATGGTAGTAAAATCCTTCAGGTGTTTCTTGTTCATTACATATATGCCTAAATCCCCAGGCTCTTTAGTTGAGGACAAGAAAATAAGGTTTATTATTACTAGTTTGTGTTCCTATAACGGCCACCACTTAGCATTTGAGAGCTGTTGTCCGTGCTCCTGCATGGAGTTATTTCCCCAGTGAAGATCATCAGAAAGTGGAAATCCTTAATTTTTGTTCTTTGGGTCCTGGATATTCCATTTGCTTGTGCAATACCAACGCTCTCATCTTCTTCCTCCTCCTCCACAAATTTTCTCAGAAAGCTAGGGTGTAGTTGTAAAGGACATTTTGCTCTAGAGCGACAATAATTTCTTGCTTTCTGTCATAAGTTTGGCTTTTTCATAAACATGTGATGCAAGCAACATAACTGACTGCTTATGTGTCTTGCAGGTGTTGGGCTGTTGTTTAATGAAAATTTTATTCCAAAAGAGCAAGTTTCTCAGGATGTTTCTCACTCTCCTTATAAACACTGTCCTGTTCTTGTTGCCCATCTGCAAGCTGGAAAGTCCTGTCCCGTTCCACAGGATGGGATAACTCCTGGATGTGTTCCTGTGTGACCTGCCCTAAACTAGATGTTACTGCATTGGCAGGGGGGATTGGACTTCATGATCTCTGGAGGTCCCTTCCAACCCCTAACATTCTGTGATTCTGTGAACTCATTCCTCTTAAATATTCTGTCTGCTTATAGCTGGTCCAGCATTTTGCTGGGTGGTGGGGAGAGTTGGTCATTCAAGAGGAGTGGAGTTGAGGTAGGAGTAAGAACAAGATGGGCATGGGGCATGTTCCAGTCTTGTGAACTGGGAAAGCTGGCCTTGCTGAAGTGCTGGAAGAGCAGGTCAGACAAGAGCAAGGTGAAACGCCGGGGTAGTTGCTTACTCCCTGGTCTGTCAGTAGTAAGTAGGCTGTGTTCTTTTACTGGTTTGTTTTCAGTTGGTTTAGCCTTTACTTGGAAGTAGGTTGTCAGCAGGTACCTTTGTGAAAAGAGCTGCTTTGAGACAGGAGCCAACCAAAAGAGAAGCCAAGCAAAGTTTGTTTCATTACTGCTCAGGGAATTTTGCAGAAAACAGATGTGCAGTGGCTTCTTTCTTTGCCCAGTGCAGTCTTTGTGGGTGGATGGTTTTTTCCTGGGCAGCGAGATTCAGTGGCTGCATTTCCAAGCTCTCTAGTGGGAGGCTGCAGCGAGGGGCTGCGGAGCGCGCAGAGGAGGTGGTGTGGCTGCTTCCCGCGCGCAGGGGATGCCAGTGGGCCCATGACGGAGGAGTCGAGTGTCGTCTGGGCTTATCTCACCCAGGCATCTGCTCACAATTCAGTGGCTGTAGTCGGCGTGCCAGCTGGCGGGACATTTTCCTGATGTAAATTATCCATCCGTTCTGAGGGGTCTGAATACAAGGAGGCCTTTTGTGTGTAGGGACGAATTCCTAACTTGGGGTAAAAGGAGGAGTCTCTGAAGATCTGAATAGCATTTGCTTGCATTTTTCCAGTCTATCTTTATGGTTTTCAGCATGGGGCATCTCCTGGGGGACCTTGGGATACAGGATTGGGTGATAACCCTGCAGAGGAAGGGCTTTAATTGCTGGTGACATCTGGTAGCTGTGGTCAGGCTGACAATGGGAGCAGGTTGTTGGGGGAAGCGTCCCCTGCACCAAACACCACTGAACGTTTCCAGTGCTGCTGCTGCCACCTCTGCAGGTGCCCAGGCTTGCTGCCTTGCTTGGATCTGGAATTGCAAGTCTGTCTTGAGGGCATACACACGTGGTTGCTTCCTTCAGAGAAAGATATTATGGGATTTTCTGCATCAGCCTGAATTATCAAGAGGGGCTGGTTGTTCTGTCACCTTGCAGGTGAACAGCTTCATGCCTCAAAAGGAGAGCTGTTCTACAATGTGCGGCTCATGATTTTGAGCTCTGGATGCATTAAAGACATGTCAGGGTGCACTCCTGAAGTGCTGAGCTCACAGTTGATCATTACTACACATATTTTCTCTGCTAATGAAGTTTTATAACAATCATCTGGAGTTCTTCCTGCAAAATAGATCTGTCACCTATCAGTACACAGAGGGAAGTATTATCTGATACTTGACACTATCAGGCAGTTCAAGCCAAACTGAGATCAAAGTAATTGCTAGCTTCTAGGAACAGGAGAACAATGACTTTTTGTCTTCCAAATGAAACGTTTAAATCTGCCTTTCACCTAGTTGCTGCTGTCGGAATTTCTCAGCGTGGTAGCAATGTGTGTTTATTTAGCTCTGCAAGACTGGAAAGCAACCTGGGTACATTATCCTTACTAGAAAAAGAGCCCTGCTATCTGCCGGGCTGCTAAGCACAGCTTTTACGTTCAGTATGAACACCGGGGAAATGCATTTGAACACTGTGTCAGCTGGTCTTGGGTAAACTCTATTGTTCCGGCAGTATTTACCCACGGGGCTGATACGGCGGGAGCGCTCCGGGAGCACCAACTGCATTCCTCTGTAATGCCATTAACAGGGTTTCTCAAGTAGTTACACTGCCAGCTGAAATAAAATGGCTTTTTCACCGGGGTTGTTCAGTCGGGAGGGGTTTCTGAATGCATTTTCTTTGGCCTGCAGTGTAAAACCCACAGTGAAGAAGGGAGTCTCCATTTAACACAAGGGATTTCCATGGAAAGTGCTCTCTTGCTGCCCAGAGTGCAGCGTGCAAGTGTTGTGCCTTTAGCAGAGCTGGAATTTTATGCAAGGAGCTGTAGGAGACCTTGCTGGGGAATGGGGACTGTAATCCAGTTATAGTGGAAGGGAAAAATAATAGTTCTTTTACAGGATGTGCAGGCTGTGACCTGGCCTTGCTGCTAGAGCAGGAAGCTTTTTGTGTGTGTGTGTGTGGAGTGAGAGGACACGCCTGGCCCCCTCTTCATTCCCAGGATTCTTTTGAAGCATTTCCTCCCTGAAGTCATCTTGATGAAGCCTGAACACAGGGGTTTTGCCTCATGCTGGAAGAATGCAGTACTAGTGAAGAAAACTAACCACCCCAAGACAAAGTAGCAGGGTGTTCTTGACAATTCAACTCACAAAATTTAGTTGAATGATCTTTATGCTCTTGGCTTAGGCTTCATTTTTTTTTCCCCTCTTGACTCACAGAATGACTGCTCTTGCCTGATGTCTTTGCTGGTTTTATCTGTGATGAAAATGGCCCAAAGAAATTCCACCAGGGCAGACTTTCAGCCTCATATTTTTATTTCAGCAGACAAGCTCGAATAAAACCTTACTATTAAGATGACAGTTTCATTAATGATAAAACCATGATAGCAGGTGTGGTTTTAGATGCTGCCCACCCAGAGTGCTGAAGTTCTCAGATGGGCTGGCAGTTTGCAGGTCAACACATATACTAAAGTTATCCTGCATGAGAGGCATTTGCTTCTGGGGATCCTTACCTTTATCTGGAAAAGATTAAGATTATATCCTGAGTTCTTTGGTCGTGGGCCTGAAAAAGATATTAGTGTATGCCTGGTCTATGGGCTTGTACTCACCCTGAGTTTCTGCATGTGTATGCTCTTCACCTCTGAAGCATGCTGGGCCTTCAGTGGGGAGCTCTCTTCTTCAGAGAAGACCTGTAGCAGGAGAAATAGGAAACCTGCGAGGACCTGGTTTTGTACATGCTTCTTGCCTTGCATTGAGATTCCTAAGAAGAATACTTCCAAATAAAAGGAAACTGGATTAATCTCATATATTGGGCAGCAAGGGGAGGATGCACCTAAACTGCACTGCAATATTTGGTGTTGATCCTTTGGAGGTTCTAACTTGTAGGAGCAGTTTGGCATTAACACCGTGATTGCTTCTCCCTTGTCTTCTGTATGTAAGATCATCTCCTTTAAATAACTTGACCCCAAACCAACAGTGAGGTGGTGTTAAGCAAAAGCTACAGATGAGAATGTTGGGCTTCCAGTCTTCTGCCTAGGTTGTCCGTAACCTCACACGTGATATAAATGGGGAAGGGTATTTTGTGGGGAGCCTTGGGAGATGCTGTCTTACATGTCACACACAGGTTGGGGTATCAGCAGATTTCTTCAGCTCTAAACACAAGTCTAGTCTTTTGTAATCCTTGGGACACATAGGTGTAAGTTTTTCCGGTGCTGTATATCTTGATTTTTTTTTTCGTTTTCTTTCTGATGTGTTAATTTCTGGCCCCTTTGCTGTTTTTCTGCTACTCTGGTGTTTCCATAAGGAAAAAAGGACAAAGGTTCCTCCCTGGTGCTGGAGGGGCTCTGGGTGTGACACACTCAATGCAGGCTGGCCCTGGTCTAACCGGTGGGTGGCCTGCGAGCAAGAGCCGTGGCTCAGGAGCAGATTCGTTGCCGTCAGGTGTTGTGTGTGTGCTTTGAGGGGCACACTGCTCTTGCCTGGTGCCGGCCAGTCTGCTGTAACTTGTGAAGAGAGCCACACTTCAGCAGGTGCAAAGCCTGGTGTTAAAAACTAACGCAGTGGAGTTAATTCATTTTACAAGTTGAGGTGAAATCCGTGTGACTTCTACAGGCAGAAAAAAACTGTTTCTTAATCCATTGAAACTCTTCTAGTAGCTTTTTTTTTTTTTTAATCAGTGAAGGGACCAGTGATGGCTACAATCTGTACTTGGAGCAGTGCTTTTCTTGGAGGTGGTGAGAGTGTAAGAGTGTGGCAGGGACTAGACACCTGAAGTTCTCATCCAGACAAATCTCACATTGTCTTAGAAGATTCCCCATGTGTGCCAGGCGGTCCTGATCGTACAGAGTCTACTCACTGAGGTGGAGCAAGAAGAGCAGCTGTATGCATCTTCCTGGGAACATGCCTCTTGGCTAGGGGGGATAGTGGAAGGAGGATGGTGGATGAAGCTGTGCTGTGGTCCTCTTCTCATGGGTTTTCTCAGGAGTCTGAATCTTCTAGGTGGTTGGTTTATGTGCATGTGAGTAGATGCTTCAGTCACCAGAGAAGAATTTGTGAGGGAGGATGATCTGTTGACTGCCACAAACTTCTTTAGGAGGTGAATAGAAGGCAGGGAGGTGGGTTTACATTTCTCTTTTTAGGAGAGACAAAACATGGCTGGCTTTGATCTGAGAAGTGTCTTGGCAACTTTAATGATATGGTCAGGGAAGCTTAAACCTTGTTTTTTCCCTTTCCCAGGGAAGGAGTAGAAGAGTACTACAACTCAGTAGTTCAGTGGTGGAAGAAATGCTTTGTGAGTAATAACAGCAAGAGTTTGGGATATTGTCTATTTAGAGAGGAAGCAGAGGTACAAAACAAGCTCGGTGGTGTACCTCTCAACCTTTCTGGTTAATATTGTTTCTCCCCTATGTGTATTCGGAAGAAATTTTATCAAATGGTGTGGTAAACTTGGACTTGGCCTTAGATACACACAAACTGTTTGTGGGTCTGATGTAAGTATCATCTCGTGGGGTAAGGACACTGCTGTCAATGTCTACAGAAGAGAATTGCAGCTTGTGAGATGTGTGTTTGGTTCCTCAGAAGTCTGTAGGTCTGTTTATATACTCCACCTACTCTCAACTTGGCTTTTGTTTCCTTCTCCTTGCCTTTGCCAGGAGATAGAGTACGCAGGACTGGAGGAGATAACTTCTGGTGCTGCTGGACACTGCTCTTCCTGCTGGACAGTATCGGAGACATTTCTAGAGAGACAATTGCAGTGCAGCAGTTCCATTCTTTCAGTTTGAAGTTGTTTGAGTCTTTCTCATGTCTTTCTTCTCTTAACTGCAGGAAAGGCCTTCGACATCACATACGTGCGTCTGAAGTTTCACACCAGTCGTCCGGAGAGCTTTGCCATCTACAAACGCACCAGGGAGGACGGCCCCTGGGTGCCCTACCAGTACTACAGTGGCTCCTGCGAGAGCACCTATCACAAAGTGAATCGGGGCTTCATTCGGACTGGGGAGGATGAGCAGCAGGCCCTCTGCACGGATGAGTTCAGTGACATCTCCCCACTCACTGGGGGCAACGTGGCCTTCTCAACGCTGGAGGGACGTCCCAGCGCCTATAACTTTGACAACAGCCCCGTGCTACAGGTACGTGAGCGGGACCGAGTCAGTCGAGTGACCTGGGGTGAGTCTGTCTGTCCAGTCGTTGGGGACAGTGGCTTTGTGCCAGCTCTGGGCTGCACCATGTCCCCGACTTGTGCTGAAACGCCCTTGCACAGGTAAGTTGGGATGGACAAGCCAAAGGGATACTTCTGAAGGAAGAGCTGAACTCCTGATTCGTTGTTAGTTTATGGTACAAAAAGCAAAATCGTGGTGTAAAGGCTTATTTGTCATTAGACATCATGGAAGTCTTTAGAGGATAAGTGCAAATCTGGGGTTATTGGAACCCCTAACCTGTTCTTATACGTGTGTTAGGGTGCCAGAGCTTGATTTTATCCATTTTTTTTTTTTTTCTCCTACAAGCAGCTTGGTGAGGGGATTCAGTTGGAGTTGTTTGTTGTTAGCATTCCCAGTGCTGTTTGGGCCATGGTCAGGAGCATAGTAGGAGCAACACTTTATCCTATTTACTTGTCACTGTGTTTGATGATTTCTCCATGTTGTGGTTTAGACCCAGCCATGACCTGAGTACCGTGTGGCCGCTCAATCACCCCCTCCCACCTCCTGAACAGGAAGGAGAAAAGGGAGAAACAAAACAAAGATAAGGAGAGATAGGGAGAGTTTAATACAATACAAAACGAGTAATAAACAACAGTAAAACAAGTAACATTAATGCAACAATATATAAAGCAAGTGATACAAAGCACAGACAGTGTTAGCTCTGAAAGGAAACAGGAGATACAGTACATAGGACTGGAGGAGACAGTCAAAACCACATGCATAGTGGCCCTTATGTTGTGGGCATCATGTCAGTATGGTATTGAATAACCTATTGAAAGCCCTAACCTAACCCTAGCTGCACCCCTTCCCAACTTCTGGTAAGAATTAACCCTATCCTAGCCAAACTAGGGCACTCCAGTTTGTTACAGCCAGGAGCTAAAGCTGTGGAGTTTGCCCCACTGGGGCTCACCTCGTTCCTTTTGGAGCTGTGATCTCCACTTTTTTCCCTTCCTCTTAGAGCAGCAGGAGCAGACAGAGATGTAACAGCAGATCCCCAGGCAGCAGGCAGGAGAGCAGCATCTGGAGGGACTAGCTTCTGCAAACAAAAATAAGGTTCATGGGAAAGCGAGAATAACTTATGAAGTGGAAAAGAACCAGTTTGGCCAGCTGGTTTGTAGAAAAAAGGTTCTGTATTTGTTAAGGTGAATGGAGAGATTTTAAGTGATGTATATTTTTCTGATACACTTCTTTATGTAAAGGAATAGAGACCTGACCTCCAGTTCCCTAAAATATGTAAAAACCTCTGCCATTGCTTTGGAGAACTCAAGGAAACATGCATTTTTTTGCTTAGCAATTCCATGTGTTTATGCTGGTGTTTGTAATTCAGTAAAACTCCTTATTGTACCAGCTAAGCAGGGATGCAGCTGCAGCACAGTTGTACATACAGGGATGTTCTTCTTGTGTGGGTTTTTTTTTTTTTTTTTTGTGGTGTTTGAAGGAAAATGGCATTGCAAAAGCTGTAATAAAAACAAGGAGCTGCTCAGGACAGTCGCTAGCTGAAGGCGGTGTGAAATCTGGGGACAGGCTACACTTGTCGGCTGTTGCTAGAGGAGGGTAGGGTACTGTGGTGAAGATGCTGTGTAAATATTATGAAAAGCTCTTGTGTTTTGAGTCAGATCTGCCTGTCTGTTTTAATTCCTCAGCCTCCCCCAGCCTCATTCAGCTGTCTGTGTCTTTTCATCTGGCAGTGTTTATCTGCAGACCAGAGTACCCTAGAGCGTTTTCTGTTCCTGCTGTATAGCTTTGCAGGAGAACTGTGGTCAGATAGATACAAGCAATTAGCAAGCTCACAATTGCCTTCACTGCACTTTTTGCTGGAGGGGTTATCTCCTGCTCCCCAGCCAAGAGCAGTCCAGATGTGAAGAGGCATTGGAAAGGAGCTCCAGAGAGGATCAGGGTCCAGAAAATGCATTAAACCAAGAGGATGTGGTATAAGGGCTCTTGAGCAGGGATGGTTGAGCTTCCAAGGTGCAGAGGGGAAGATGGTGAGGAAGGACCTTGCTGGCTGATGAATGAGTTTATGAATCCAACTGCTAATGAGACAGCACTTAACCGTTTGTTTGAGGGGGCGTGTTTGGTGTCTGATCTGGTGGGATTTCTGTCTCCTCTAGGAATGGGTGACAGCTACAGATATTAGAGTGACTCTCAATCGTCTGAACACCTTTGGAGATGAAGTCTTCAATGACCCAAAAGTTCTCAAGTCTTATTACTATGCAATTTCAGATTTTGCTGTGGGTGGTAGGTGAGTAGACAATAAACCTCTGTACTTATTTAAAGCTTTTGGACAGAATTACTAGAGCGCTTTAAAGATTTTGATTGTAGTCACATGGTACCATTAGGTTTTGGTCTTTATTGACTGTTCTAAACCGAAAATGCAGAAGAATGAATCTTAGGAAACCTGCAGATTGTGTGTATAACATCTTGTACTTATAATTTCATGGCAAACAGATTAAATTTTTTTTTTCTTGACTAACTCATATGTCAAGTGATTTAGGAGGGTAGAAGGTGAGAAGAATGGCAAAAATGTAAAACAAAAGAAAAAACACTTCTTTTTTTTTTTTTCTGCTCTGCACTTTGTGTGTATTTTAATGTTATTAATTGTTCCCTGACTGTATCTGTAGCCTAGAGAACTGGTAAGTAGAAAATCAGTGTTTCTGCATTGCATGTATTTTGGGAGGTATCTCCTATGAAGACCTGAAGCATTGTACAGTACTGTGGCTGTCTGTTCTCTTGTCAAAGCATATTGCAGAATGCTTCAATCTCAAGTTACTGATGATAAAATGTTTTCATAAACAGAGACCAGTGCAGTGTTTTGGACTGTTTGCAGAGAGCCATCCTGAGACCAGGATTTGCATTGGCTGCACCACCAGCTTATGCATATCCCTGGGCTTCTGTGTTAGTCACATTTGTGCTATTTAATTTCTTAGAATCACAGAATCATTCTGGTTAGAAAAGACCTTTAAGATCATCAAGTCCAACCATTAACCCAGCACTGCCAGGTCACCACCAAACCATGTCTCTCAGCACCACATCTCTGTGGCTTTTCAGTCTCTCCAGGGATGGGGATTCCACCACTTGCCTGCCCTGCCTGGGCCAGAGCTTAAAAATACTTTCGGGGAAGACACTTTTCCTCATTTAGGTTTCCTCAACCTAAACCTCCCCTGGTACAACTCTAGGCCATTTCCTCTAGTCCTATCGCTTCTTCCTTGGGAGAAGACCAACGCTTACCTCACCCCAGCCTCCTTTCAGGGAGTTGTTGAGAGCGAGATAGATCTCCCCTGAACCTTCTTTTCTCCAGGCTGAACATCCATAGTTCCCTCAGCCACCTCTCACAAGACTTGTGCTCTAGACTCTTCACCAGCCTCATTGCCCTTCTCTGGACATGCTCCAGCCCCTCAATGTCATTCTTGGGCCCGAAACTGAATCCAGAATTTGAGATGCGGCCTCACCGGTGCTGAATACAGTGAGATGATCCCTGCTCTAGTCTGGCTGGCCCTACTAGTGCTGATATGAGCCAGGATGCTGTTGGCCTTGGCCACCTGGGTGCAGACTGGCTCATGTTCAGGCAGCTGTTAACCAACACCCTGAGGTCTTTTTTCTCCAGGCAGCTTTCCAGCCACTTTTTCCTAAGTCTTACTGAAACATGCATGTTTTTTCCTGGTTTCTCATGAGGGAGAAGGGATGGACAGTATACTAACCTGAGGCTGACAAAATCTTTGCTTCTCCTATGCAGCTTACTCTGTTTTAGTGACAGACTGCAAAAGAGTTGGTAAATGTTCTTGTGTTTCTAAATGCCTACCTCAAGCATGCTGCACCTCTTCATTTCATGGCATGGTTTGGCTTGGAAGGGGTCTTCAGAGGTGGTCCAGCCCCCACCATGGACAGGGACATCTTTCACTAGATCAGGTTGCTCAGAGCCCCATGCACCCTGACATTCAACACTTCCAGTAGTGGGGCATCCACAGCTTCTCCGGGCAACATCTTCCATTCTCTCAGCACGCTCACTATAAAACATTCCCTTCCTTATGTGCAATCTAAACCTGCCCTCTTTCATTTTAAATCTTTGCCCCTTGTCCTGTCACTGCAGGCCCTGGTAAAAATCACAGAATCACACCATGGTAAGGCTTGAAAGGGACATCTGTAGATCATCTCATCCAAGCCCCCTGCTAAAGCAGGGTCACCCAGAGCAGGTTGTCCAGGATCACATCCAGATGGTTTTGGAGTCTCGTCACGGAAGGAGACTCCACAACCTCCCTGGACAGCCTGTTCCAAGGCTCTGGCACCTTCACAGGAAGGAAGCTTTTCCTAGTGGTTTTTTTAATGTTGTGCTATGTTTTCCTTGCATCTGCTTGCAAAAACTCTCTCTCCATGTTTCTTGTAAACCCCCTTTGGTTACTGAAAGACCTCAGAAAGGTCTCCATGGAGCGTCCTCTTCTCCAGGCTGGAAAAACAGCACATATATTCTCAATTTTGTTGTGACCATCTACCTTTCTGTCTCGCCTCACGTTTTCAGATCTGGGCTTTGCTTTGAGGATTACTCTGCGAGTGACCTGGATCTCTGGAGTTTAAATACCTGTTCCTTGTCTCTTGTTAACCAGATGCAAATGTAACGGACACGCAAGCGAGTGTGTGAAGAATGAGCTTGGGAAGCTGGTCTGCAACTGCAAGCACAACACCTTTGGGGTCGACTGTGAGAAGTGTCTTCCTTTCTTCAACGACCGTCCGTGGAGGAGAGCGACAGCAGAGAGTGCCAATGAATGCTTGCGTACGTGCGGCCACGCTCGAGGCGAACACCTCTGGGGTTGGGTCCCCTGCTCCTTCTGCTGTCTGGAAGCTGCCCCTGTGTGGTTTTAAGCTGCCTCAGTTGCAGTTAGCCAGTGTTTAGCATACTTCTGGAGTTTTTCAGTAGGGATTTTTGCAGGACTGCTGATCATTCCATTCCTATTCTGCAGGAGCTTTCTGATAGATCCCTCCAAAGGGACATCTTCCTGGAGAAGGATGGGAGTGGCTTTTAGGGCAGAGATGGGCTGCAAAAATGTACAGGCTTGTACTTTATGGAACCCATAGAAAAAAATTCCGTATCTAATATGCTGGAGTATAATTGACCTTCAAAAAGCTCCTCATTTAGCATCGAGTGACTTCCTTTTGTATTTGGGTTATTGGCTTTTACAGTTACTTATGGACTATTTCATCCAATTTCAAGGCTGTTGCAACAGCTCTGTGCTGCAAAGGCAGATCCCTGTGACCAAGTGCCAGTTTATTTTGCTTAGTTTGGTGTCACAGACCACAGCTCCTGGTAGTTTACTTTACGGGGAAGCTTTTTAGACAGAAAAGTTTTCTTCCTGTCTGACCTCTGGGTGTGTTGATCGGTCCCAGCTGTCTGGTCAAGACCTGTGGCTTCCTTTGACAGGCCAGTAAAACCCATGTCTCCTGCTCTCTAGGCAGAGGGAGAGGAGATTTGTAAAAGTTTCCTCCCAGCATGGAGGCAGCCTCACCGTTATCTTCTCATGCTTGTTTGTGTGATTGAGGTGGGGAGGGCAGCATTTCAGCTGCAAATGGCAGCCCAAAGTGCAAAGGAGGAGGTTCAAAAGTGCTGGTTTTCTTCTGGATGTAGAAGAGATGGTCTTGAGGAGCCAGTTTCATCATTACAGCCTTGCTTCCCCCTCCCTACATTCAACCACCACAAAAACATGCTTCCCTCTTTCTCTCCTCTTCGATGCCCAGATGCCGTGGGGGGGTCTGTGCGTGGGTCTGGGGACGGTTAAAGGCTCCTGCTCCAGCTCCCCTGCGATGCGATGCCGAGCTTTGCGTGGCGGGTTCGGGGACTGCCGGGGCCAGGCGGCCGCGCGGGCCGCTGGCTGACGTGTGCCCTGGTCTTTGCAGCCTGTGAGTGCAGCGGGAGGTCTCAGGAGTGCTTCTTCGACCCCGAGCTCTACCGCTCCACGGGCCACGGGGGCCACTGCACCGGCTGCGCCGACAACACCGC